GCGCCTCCTATTGTTCGCGGAAGCGCTCCTGTCATTCCACAAAACGCATCCGTCGCTGTCGCTCAAGCACACGCTGGAAGGCGGTCCGCAGTCGCGGAGGCCAGCGCTGGGCAGAACCAGGGTCTCGTTTTGCTCAGCTGTGGGCAGCAGCAAGAAATAAACTCGCCCGACCCTGGAACTCTATCTTTTTGCGGTGTAGCTCCTGTTCTCCCACAAGGCTCATACGCCGTTGTTGCGCATACCGCTGTTGTTTTGAATACTCTGTCAGAGGTCCACTGGAGATCCCCGATTGATCCTAGAGAAGGGTTACAGGCACGTTGGCCTGGGGGGTTATGGGCGCACTGACCCGCTACTTAACAAGCCCTTTTATCCCAGTGGTCTAGTGGCTGGGATTCTGACATGGTATCAGAGCGAAGGTCTCGGGTTCGAATCCCAGTGTGTGTGTGCACCTCGGGCATCTCAGTGCGGGGGGGTGTCAGAGGTCCACTGGAGATCCCCGATTGATCCTAGAGAAGGGTTACAGGCACGTTGGCCTGGGGGGTTATGGGCGCACTGACCCGCTACTTAACAAGCCCTTTTATCCCAGTGGTCTAGTGGCTGGGATTCTGACATACTCCAGTCGCTCAAGCAGGCTCTGGCCTGCAGCCCGCAGCCGAGCAAGCCAGCTATGGGCAGCACCCCACAGTTGATGCGCACATCGCTGGTCAGCAGCAGGGAAGCGGCTCGCCAAGCTACGGGCTGCAGCAAGGTGTTGGCGCCGCCAGCACTGGTCAGCAGCCGGGAAGCGGCTCGCCAAGCTACGGGCTGCAGCAAGGTGTTGGCGTCGCCAGCACTGGTCAGCAGCAGGGAAGCGGCTCGCCAAGCTACGGGCTGCAGCAAGGTGTTGGCGCCGCCAGCACTGGTCAGCAGCAGGGAAGCGGCTCGCCAAGCTACGGGCTGCAGCAAGGTGTTGGCGCCGCCAGCACTGGCCAGCAGCAGGGAAGCGGCTCGCCAAGCTACGGGCTGCAGCAAGGTGTTGGCGCCGCCAGCACTGGTCAGCAGCAGGGAAGCGGCTCGCCAAGCTACGGGCTGCAGCAAGGTGTTGGCGCCGCCAGCACTGGTCAGCAGCAGGGAAGCGGCTCGCCAAGCTACGGGCTGCAGCAAGGTGTTGGCGCCGCCAGCACTGGCCAGCAGCAGGGTTGCGGCTCGCCAAGCTACGGGCTGCAGCAAGGTGTTGGCGCCGCCAGCACTGGCCAGCAGCAGGGAAGCGGCTCGCCAAGCTACGGGATGCAGCAAGGTGTTGGCGCCGCCAGCACTGGTCAGCAGCAGGGAAGCGGCTCGCCAAGCTACGGGCTGCAGCAAGGTGTTGGCGCCGCCAGCACTGGTCAGCAGCAAGGAAGCGGCTCGCCAAGCTACGGGCTGCAGCAAGGTGTTGGCGCCGCCAGCACTGGTCAGCAGCAGGGAAGCAGCTCGCCAAGCTACGGGCTGCAGCAAGGTGTTGGCGCCGCCAGCACTGGTAAGCAGCAGGGAAGCGGCTCGCCAAGCTACGGGCTGCAGCAAGGTGTTGGCGCCGCCAGCACTGGCCAGCAGCAGGGAAGCGGCTCGCCAAGCTACGGGCTGCAGCAAGGTGTTGGCGCCGCCAGCACTGGTCAGCAGCAGGGAAGCGGCTCGCCAAGCTACGGGCTGCAGCAAGGTGTTGGCGCCGCCAGCACTGGTCAGCAGCAGGGAAGCGGCTCGCCAAGCTACGGGCTGCAGCAAGGTGTTGGCGCCGCCAGCACTGGTCAGCAGCAGGGAAGCGGCTCGCCAAGCTACGGGCTGCAGCAAGGTGTTGGCGCCGCCAGCACTGGTCAGCAGCAGGGAAGCAGCTCGCCAAGCTACGGGCTGCAGCAAGGTGTTGGCGCCGCCAGCACTGGTAAGCAGCAGGGAAGCGGCTCGCCAAGCTACGGGCTGCAGCAAGGTGTTGGCGCCGCCAGCACTGGTCAGCAGCAAGGAAGCGGCTCGCCAAGCTACGGGCTGCAGCAAGGTGTTGGCGCCGCCAGCACTGGTCAGCAGCAGGGAAGCAGCTCGCCAAGCTACGGGCTGCAGCAAGGTGTTGGCGCCGCCAGCACTGGCCAGCAGCAGGGAAGCGGCTCGCCAAGCTACGGGCTGCAGCAAGGTGTTGGCGCCGCCAGCACTGGTCAGCAGCAGGGAAGCGGCTCGCCAAGCTACGGGCTGCAGCAAGGTGTTGGCGTCGCCAGCACTGGTCAGCAGCAAGGAAGCGGCTCGCCAAGCTACGGGCTGCAGCAAGGTGTTGGCGCCGCCAGCACTGGTCAGCAGCAGGGAAGCAGCTCGCCAAGCTACGGGCTGCAGCAAGGTGTTGGCGCCGCCAGCACTGGTAAGCAGCAGGGAAGCGGCTCGCCAAGCTACGGGCTGCAGCAAGGTGTTGGCGCCGCCAGCACTGGTCAGCAGCAAGGAAGCGGCTCGCCAAGCTACGGGCTGCAGCAAGGTGTTGGCGCCGCCAGCACTGGTCAGCAGCAGGGAAGCAGCTCGCCAAGCTACGGGCTGCAGCAAGGTGTTGGCGCTGCCAGCACTGGCCAGCAGCAGGGAAGCGGCTCGCCAAGCTACGGGCTGCAGCAAGGTGTTGGCGCCGCCAGCACTGGTCAGCAGCAGGGAAGCGGCTCGCCAAGCTACGGTCTGCAGCAAGGTGTTAATCAGCCCATTGCCAATGTGCCACCAGGCTATGCTTCAACCAGCGCAGCCATGCACCACGCCAACGCTTTCGAAGAAGTGGTGCTGGAAGAGGCGTACCACCATGTTGGAGCGAATGTACTTGTCCCCAACCCCTTAGCTGATTGTGCCCCTGGCCACGCTGGTGACCTAATCGCAGCATCAGATGACTATATGGCGGAGATCCGCGAGTTGAAGCGAAAATTGAAAGAGAAGGAAAACGAGAACCAGCTCCTTCGTCGGCGTTCTCCTGGATCCTCTAGCGGTGCATACGGAAATGACACCAACCGAGAGGATAGCGTCGGTCGGACCGAGCCAGCTGCCCCTGGACCATTAACGAGTGCCCCACAGCCCCCCCAGGTAAGCCTAGCAGTGAATAGCATGCGATAATATCACCTCCAATATTCGATTCCGCTTGCATCACATGCTAGATGTTGTAAGAGCAACATGCAATACCATGATGGTAACGACGCTGCTCCCTTGTTCACTTGCTGCCTGTTAGATCCTTTCGCAAGCAAAGATCACACCATGCGTTGCCAATCCCTTCTATTTTCCCTACACGTTGACCATGTGTTCTGTCACACATGCAGGCCCCCCCTCAACATGTGGCAGGTCCGTACATGGGTTCTACGGCAGTCTTGAGTCGGGCAGAGATAGCTAAACAGCTATCTGTTGCCAACAAAACTGGTTTGCAGTTCACGATGCACTATGTGGCACCACAGGACCAAGACTGGACCTGCACAGTGGACCGTGCAATGAAGGCCATCCCAAACGTCAGAACTGGACATCGTGTAAGTCTAAACCTAAGCTCAAATAAAACTGCCTATTCCATGTGGTATGTCACCATTGCTGCTTGTATGTGTTGCTTGGAAGTGCTGCTTGCTAGTGTTGCTTGCACCTGCTGCTTGCACATGCTGCTTGCAAGTGCTTCTTGCATGTGCTTCTTGCAGGAAGTGCTTGCATGTGCTGCTTGCATGTGCTGCTTGCATGTGCTGCTTGCACGTGTTGCTTGCATGTGCTGCTTGCACGTGTTGCTTGCATGTGCTGCTTGCACGTGTTGCTTGCATGTGCTGCTTGCACGTGTTTCTTGCATGTGCTGCTTGCACGTGTTGCTTGCATGTGCTGCTTGCACGTGTTGCTTGCATGTGCTGCTTGCACGTGTTTCTTGCATGTGCTGCTTGCACGTGTTGCTTGCATGTGCTGCTACCACGTGCTGCTTGCACGTGGTGCGTGCAGGTTCTGCTTGCACTGGCTGCTTGCCAGTGCATATTGCATGTGCCGCTAGCATGTGCTTCTCGCATGTGCTATCTGCATGTGCTTCTCGCATATGCTCCTCGCATGTGCTGTCTGCATGTGCTTCTTGCATGTGCGTCTTGCATGTACCGAATGTATGTGGTTCTCACATGTGCCGCGTGCATGTGCTTCTTGAATGTGCTGATTGCATGTGCTACTTGCATAAGCTGCTTGCGAGCATGTGCCTGCTCGCATTGCCCTTCCAATGCAATGCAAACCGTTTTAATTTGTTCCCCCCATGCTTGTAGTGGCTACATTTCTCCATGCTTTGTTCTTTATGCCCCTCTCATGACATTTGATCGCAAACTTCACACCCGTAGGGAAAAATGATCCGCACCAGGGATGTACTTTTTTGGGAGAGAGCTGACGTCGACATCACCTTTTACCCAAGTAGGAGAGCATTGCTGCAGGCGATGGGTCAGGCCTTGGGCTTTACCCAGCAATGGCAGTATGATCAGCTTGAGCTGGTCTATGAACTTGACGGGCTTCGGACAAGCTACATCCGCAAATTTTTCCAAGACTATCGCTTCGACATCCTCGCTCCTGCTCGTGTCATTGTGATCAAGGCATTCAACATTGACACCACCGTCGGTGTGCGCGAGCCCGGAGTTAACAACGGGAAGATGGAGATGTCGGCGTTTCGTGGTACCTATCGTGCAGGTATGTAAGCCAACTCGCACCATCTTCCATTTCTTCACCTGCCACCCTGTGTATTTCCACACACACTCCTACATATCCTTATCTCCCATCATCTTGCTAGTTCCTCCCGGGTTTGCGTGCTACCTCTAACTATTTATTGTTTTATCATACATCTCATAAGTCCTTATGTATTTGCTATGCGTACGGTAATTGCAATAATTCGGTTACTCATTTTCACATCCCTATTCGTGTTCCCATGCTAACACACATACATATCCTCTGCTACCCAAAGCATAATTGTATTCATCCCCTCCTTTCCCCCCTCCCTTCAAATCACATCTCCCACCTGGATTCATCCCTTCTTTCCCTCCCTCCCCCTTCAGATCGCACCCGCCCCTGAATTCATCTTTTTTTCCCTCCCTCCCCTTCAGATCGCACCCCCCCCCTTGGATTCATCCCTTCTTTCCCTCCCTCCCCTTCAGATCGCACCTGCCCCTGAATTCATCCCTTCTTTCCCTCCCTCCCCTTCAGATTGCACCCGCCCCTGAATTCATCCCTTCTTTCCCTCCCTCCCCTTCAGATCGCACCCCCCCCTTGGATTCATCCCTTCTTTCCCTCCCTCCCCTTCAGATCGCACCCGCCCCTTCATCCCTTCTTTCCCTCCCTCCCCTTCAGATCGCACCCGCCCCTGAATTCATCCCTTCTTTCCCTCCCTCCCCTTCAGATCGCACCCGCCCCTTCATCCCTTCTTTCCCTCCCTCCCCTTCAGATCGCACCCGCTCCTGAATTCATCCCTTCTTTCCCTCCCTCCCCTTCAGATCGCACCTGCCCCTGAATTCATCCCTTCTTTCCCTCCCTCCCCTTCAGATCGCACCCCCCCTTGGATTCATCCCTTCTTTCCCTCCCTCCCCTTCAGATCGCACCCTCATCCCTTCTTTCCCTCCCTCACCTTCAGATCACACCCGCCCCCTGGATTCATCTCCTCCTTTCCCCCCTCCCCTTCAGATCTCACCCCCCCCGGGATCATCCCCTCCTTTTCTCCCTCGCCTACAGATCGCAAGCCCTCCCCTCCCCCAACTGAATTCATCCCCTCCGTTTTTATTCTCCAGCATACGCCCTCTGTTCTAACACCGCTCATGCTGCTCCCGTCACAGGTGTCGCAACACTCCCATAGACGATCTGTCCATCAAATGCTTTTATATGCACTTTTCATTGCAAATCCCTCACCCTAAACCAGACGCGACATCACATGGCTTGATGACATGGAGCAGGAACAAAGATGGCGTGACTTTCTCTACCGACCTTTTCATTCGAGCCATCACCGCTTCGTTCCTGCGAGAGGGTCACGCAGTCATCATTCTGAAGCTGAACCATATCGCGTACTGGTTAATGGGGGTAAGTTCCCCTTTGTTTTGTAGTTCATGCTCTTTTGTAATGTTTTTTGTTATTGAACAGAGAGGTTTCTGATTTTAAACATTTATTTTGAGCAGGTGGAATTTAAGCTCAGGTTTGAGAAGGATCTACCCAAAAGCCATAATGATAATGGCGATGAAGTCGCAATCTATCATTCCCAAGTGAGAAACTGGGCTCGTGCTGCCATTCGCGCAAGGACAGCAACAACAGGGCCAATTTGGAAGCCCGAGTACAATGCGTGGTCGTTCCATCGTGAAAGTCGAATGGTGTTCATCAGCGATGATGGCATCGGTCTGGGCCATACCGCACAGCCGATGGGTGGTGGTGTGAGTGTTGTTCCGATCTAATTTGCATGAAAATTATTCATGGACCTGTTTCGAAAACCAGAATTAAATTTGTTTTGATATTTTGTTTTTTATTGTGTTTTGTCTGTTTTAATTAACATATTTCAAAAATAATTATTGTGGCAATTCATTATATACCATTTACAAAAACGATTATAGTATGCAATTGTAAATAGGATACTGATAGTGTTACAAATGAATACTAGTAGTAACCCAGTAGCACTGTAATTCGAAACGCGAGGTGGCTTATAGCGCGCGTCTGAGGACCCAGAATCGGTGAACATGTGTCGACGCGTCAGCCGTCGGATGTTGGCGTGGTTACCACTCAACATAAATGTGAGAATCGAATGTCAGATTTATATGACATAGCTACTGTAGGCTATAGTGGGGTAGCACATATGGGGTACAGTTTTCTAGGGTTTGCTTTTGTACCCAACTTTCCCTTAGTTCATTCATTCCTCGTTATTTCACATCGAATGCATTTCTGAAATTGTCTCTTGCTTTGGTGTAGTGAGGAGGCCCGTAACGGGGGTGTCGTAAACTTTTTCAGCTTGCAGGAAGCAGACACGTGGACATGAATAATTTGTTTCGCATCCACACAGACAGAGAGTAACAATCCCCCCCAGATATTTCGCGAACGAATCTCGAGCGTGCCTACTTTTTGGGAGAGCCGCATAGTGTGCTGCAAATTCAGATTCAATCCTACCTCTACGACAACCTGAAACATACGTTTGCCGAACCTAAGAGCACATGCTGAGCTTAAAGCCAGGATCTCAAGTAGTTCAATTGTTTTGCAGTTGGTGAGGGGAGCTGGGCTGCGATTGGTTAGCGAGGTGAACAATCTGACGAGGTGTGAAGCGAGGGGTGCAAAGTAAAGACAAATCGCAAGTTCAGTCCGAACCAAGCAAGGCTCGGAAACTGGTTCGGTGACGAAGCTCCAATGCCTGCAATTTCTCGTCACACACAACAATCTCATGTACCAGCAAAATGTTTTGCATTTGCTCTAGGGGCAAAATCGTGGGTGTGCCGCACGCTCACTTTCCTAACCAGCCAGTCAATTCGCCTACAAAAATAGGGTAACAAGCGCTGCAAGTGTTTTGCAATTGAAAGCCAATTCTCTTACTTGAGATCCTGGCTTTAAACCCCCCTCGAAACGTATGTTTCCCACAGCCCTGAAGATACCCCAACGTAGCTTTCTGAAGCAGCAATTTTTGGGATGGTTCCTCACCGCTCCCCATCGCTGACTGGCCTTGCATGTCGTCCTTATTCCAGTGCCAGCTCCGCCTATCCTCTCCTTGCCTTTCCTTCTCTGTGCAGGCACCAGTTGCAATGGATTCATTCAAAGGCGGCTCCAAAGGCGCCACAGCAGCGGCGGAGAGGAGAGGAGGGGATCGCTGAGGCTCACTCCCCCTCCGCCATCCCCCTTCCCCTCCTCTGCTTCTCCGTCCCCTTTCCCCCATCACATTCCTTCCTCCCGCTTTCCACCCACTTTCCTCACGTCCCCCCCTCCTCTCCCCCCCCCCTTCCCCCCCCCTCCTCCCCTTTCCTCCACCCTCTCCGCCAGGCGCAATGGATTCATTCAAAGGCGGGTCCAAAGGCGCGACGGCAGTGGCAGCAGCAGCGAAGAGGAGAGGGTCGCTGAGGCATCGCAAGGTGGCGGCTGATGTGGTGGCTGTGATGCTGGATGAAGGCATGCGGAAGCGAGTGAGTGAGTGAGGAAGTGAGTGAGGGAGGGAGTGAGGGAGGGAGTAAGGGTTTTCGTTGTTTATGACACCCAGGGACGGGGAAAGAATGAGTGGTTTTTAAGTCTGTGGCATGGGAAAATGAGTGAGAATGGAATAAGTGGAATGGAGGGGAGGCGGAGAGGAGAGGGTCGCTGAGGCAACGCAAAGTGGCAGCAGATGTGGTGGCTGTGATGCTGGATGAGGGCACGCGGAAACGAGTGAGTGAGTGATGTGTGTGTGATTGTACGGGACAGGAAACGAGTAAATGGCTGTTATTCAAACTGGCAACGCAAGGTGGCGGCAGATGTGGTGGCTCCGATGCTGGATGAAGGTGCAAGGAAACGAGTGAGTGGTTGATGTGCAAAGTGATTGAGAAGGTCAAGGAGCGAGGGAGTGATTCGTGGGACTGTGTTGCGGAAACGAGTGACTGAGCGCGTGCTGTTTAAAGTGAAACCAAGGGAGGCGAATCATGAAATTGCTCCGAAATTGCTCATAAGACTTGTCAAAAATGGTACAGGGAGTGAGGGGCGAGACTGGAACAAATGGAGTAGAGGGGAAGCGGAGAGACGAGACTCGCTTTCTCTGACATTTCTCTCGCTCACTTCGCTCTCAAACAGGCATCTCATTTGCCTTCCTTGTTGCGTTTCTCCGAGGCAGCAGCACGATTAGATTCTCCTGAGAGTGAATACCTCCTCTTTTTTTTTTTCATGCATCCCTCCCTGTTGTGTTTCTCTCTGTCTCCAGTGTACCCACCCACCCACCCAGGCAGCAGCAGCTCAATTAGAGGCTCTGGAGAGTGATTATACCGGGGTGGATGCTGCTGTGGATGAGGATGATGAGATGATACTGGTACAACGTGTACCTTTCCTTTCTCTCACCTGTTCCCCACCCTCTCGCATGCACCCAGGCAGCAGCGGCGCGACTGGAGGCTCTAGAGAGTGACTATTCCGGGGTGGATGCTGCTGTGGATGAGGATGATGACGTGTTCAATGCAGAGGAGGAACTGGTGCAAGAAGGTATGCTTATAGCGAGTAATGGACAATAAGGGCATGCTTATAGCGAGGAAAAAGGAGGTGTGCTGAATGGTCGATTCAGTCGGTGCATGGAAAGAAGGGGGTGTGGGACGTGTCTCATAACAAGGAAGCACAGCTTAGGGTACAAGTGGCAACTCACCCCCACCATGCTTCTCCCTCGCTTCCATTCCAGGAGGTGTTACGGGTCGCTACAATGCACAAAGGCACGCATAGTTTGTGGGGCACGAATGCTTGCTAGGGGTACGAATGCTTGCTAGGGGTACGAATGCTTGCTAGGGGCACGAATGCTTGCTAGGGGCACGAATCACGATATGTTGCGTGAAGCCAACCTGACAACCCTCTGTCTGATGTGCTTGCCAGATATTACCGATTAAATAGTTAGTATGATGGAAGGTATCAGCAACAACCAGAGCTCCGGTTAAGGTGAGGCAAATCGATTTGCCTTTTGTGTTTCGTGTTATTCATATTATTTAGACGCCCGCTCTAGTTTAACGACATTCTGTCGCTTTCTTCTTCCTTATTGTGCTCCTCGTTTGTGTGTTTCCTTCCGTCCCCGTTTGATGCGTTCGCCCTTGCTATCTTCCCCTTTCGTTCCCGTCTTCCTTTGACTGCCCACCACGTTTGACTCTGGCCATCCGAGGCAAGAGGTGCACAAGGCAGGCTCTCTGAGAGTCAACTTTTGAGTCGACCCTTCAGTCAACTCTTGAGTCAACTCTTGAGTCAACTCTTGAGACAAATCTTGAGTCAACTCTTGAGTCAACTCTTGAGTTGAGTCGACTTTTGAGTCGACTGTTGAGCAGACTGTTGAGTCGACTTTTGAGTCGACTGTTGAGTCGACTGCTGAGTAGACTTTTGAGTCAACTTTCGAGTCAAATTTTGAGTCAAATTTTGAGTCGACTCAAAAGTATACTGGCCAAACGAGGCAAGAGGTGCACGAGGCAGGCTCTCCTTCCCTTTCCTGTGTGGTGCATTCCTCTTACTCGCTCCGTTGATCTCTCCATCTCTCCCTGCCATTCCCCTGTTCCCTCGAGTGCCTATCAAGCTTTGCACCGTCCAAGCGAGTGAGCCGTCCGGGCAAGAGGTGAACGAGGCAGTCATTCCCTTCCCTCCCATTCCTGTGCGGTCCATTCCTCGTACTCGCTCCTTGGAGTGCCCACCAGGCTTCACACCAGCCAAGCGAGTGAGCCGTCCGGGCAAGAGGTGAACGAGGCAGTCATTCCCTTCACTCCCATTCCTGTGCGGTCCATTCCTCTTACTCGCTCCCTCGAGTGCCCACCAGGCTTCGCACCAGCCAAGCGAGTGAGCCGTCCGGGCAAGAGGTGAACGAGGCAGTCATTCCCTTCCCTCCCATTCCTGTGCGGTCCATTCCTCGTACTCGCTCCTTGGAGTGCCCACCAGGCTTCGCACCAGCCAAGCGAGTGAGCCGTCCGGGCAAGAGGTGAACGAGGCAGTCATTCCCTTCCCTCCCATTCCTGTGCGGTCCATTCCTCGTACTCGCTCCTTGGAGTGCCCACCAGGCTTCACACCAGCCAAGCGAGTGAGCCGTCCGGGCAAGAGGTGAACGAGGCAGTCATTCCCTTCCCTCCCATTCCTGTGTGGTCCATTCCTCGTACTCGCTCCTTGGAGTGCCCACCAGGCTTCGCACCAGCCAAGCGAGTGAGCCGTCCGGGCAAGAGGTGAACGAGGCAGTCATTCCCTTCCCTCCCATTCCTGTGCGGTCCATTCCTCTTACTTGCTCCCTCGAGTGCCCACCAGGCTTTGCACCAGCCAAGCGAGTGAGCCGTCCGGGCAAGAGGTGAACGAGGCAGTCATTCCCTTCACTCCCATTTCTGTGCGGTCCATTCCTCTTACTCGCTCCCTCGAGTGCCCACCAGGCTTCTCACCAGCCAAGCGAGTGAGCCGTCCGGGCAAGAGGTGAACGAGGCAGTCATTCCCTTCCCTCCCATTCCTGTGCGGTCCATTCCTCGTACTCGCTCCTTGGAGTGCCCACCAGGCTTCGCACCAGCCAAGCGAGTGAGCCGTCCGGGCAAGAGGCGCACGAGACAGGCTGCTGCTGCCGTGGTGAGCAGAGCGAGCAAGCGAACTCCCAAGACATTTGCAGAGCTGCTAGAAGAGGTAGGGTATGGGGTGGGTAGGATAGAGGGAGGGAGGGGAGGGGGAAGGAAGGGGTAACACATGGTTGGATAGGAAGTGGATGAGAGTTTGGTTGGTTTTTTTTTTTTTTTTTTCCCAAATACTTTTTTGTTTTTTTTTTTTTTATGCAAGGTTTTTCTGAGAATTCCCAAAATTACGCATCGGTCGGGTGGGAAGTGGATGAGAATTTGGTTGGTAGGTGACATTGACGGATGAAATAAGATGGGTTCTGAGACGTCTCAAAGCCAATCTTTTTTCACGGGTAGGAAGTGGATGAGAGTTGGGTTTATACGTGACAATGACAGAGTGAGCAAGCGAACGTTGAAGACGTTTTCTTGCAGAGCTGCTAGAGGAGGCAAGTTGTGGGGTTGGTAAGGGCGGGTAAAGAAGTATGGTGGGTAAGACCTGGGGCGGGTAAGACCTGGGGCAGGTGAGGCTGCTTGTGCTCACCCCTTCCATACCCCAAGCGTCATGCATAGTCGAGTCTAGCAGCCCTGTACTTACCCCTCGGACACACACCTCTTTCTTCCACACCCCACCACCCTCTCTCCCCATCGGCGAGTCTAGAAGCCCTGCCACCAGGCACGCCCTCCTACTTCACAGCAGCAGTGGAGCCCGGCTGCTGCCTCTGTGTATTGTCTGTGTGCTCACCCCTGCCATGCTTCTCCCTCGCTTCCATGCCCCCTCCTCACTCCCCACAGGCGAATCTAGAGATCCTGCCACTAGGCACGCCCTCCTACCTCACAGCAGCAGTGGGCCCTCCAACAGCCGCCTCAGTGCGCCGCTTCTGCTCTGCGTGTGGCAGCCACGCGCCCTACACATGCCCCCGCTGTGCCGCCCGCTTCTGCTGCATCAGCTGCCAAAGATTGCACAACGAAACCCGCTGCCTCAAGTTTGTCATGTAGTGATTTATGATCAGCTAGAATATTGATAAGCGTGTTGTGCTGTTTGGGGAATCTGTGTGAATCACTGCTGCTTTGCTGTGTCTAATTTCTTATTTGGAGGTTGTCTCAAAACAGTTGTCTTGATTCGCTGTGAACAGAACAGTTTGTGATTTGATTTGATCTGGTTTTAACAGCTGTCTCGACTTGAAAGAGCTTCCATGTGAAGGAACTGCTTCTGCGGCCGTGCTTGTCACTCCAACACCTGAAGATGGCAAAGCTAGTCCAGCAACCAAGCTTCAGCGATTCAGTGATTTCAATCAAGGGCCTACAGCAAACGGGCTCAATATTTTTTGTCCATTTTCTTTTATATATATTTATTCATGTTAGCATCCCAAATACATGTTAACATCCATTTTCTGTGCGTAAATTGACAATAAATGGTTATGGAGAGAAAAAGCAATGATTATATATCCTGAAAATATTACAGTTGAAATGTGCATGAATCGCAAACGCGAACCACAATGTGTGGTAAGCGCGAAGGTTTTCGCACTAGCTGTGCAATTATTGCCTGGCCGCACATCTCGCGTTAGGACGCGTTACCTCTCTCGATTTTGCACGATCAATCGTCATAAACCGATCGCCCACCGCACTTTAAACCTTTTTGGGTTGCGTAGCAACCCTATACAATTGGTTTCACTTTTCGGGGAACTGACGTGAACTGTGATTTTTTTCCAAGATTTCTGGAAGAAAATACTGTTCACGTAAGTTACCCTACAAGTGAAACCAAATGTGTCCAATCATCCATTACCGTCGATAAGTACGGCGAATGGAATAATTGGACAATCTCTCCGCACGAATGACGATACATTTGCACACATAAACGTTCACAATTATGACGATACGAAAGCACATGCACGGCCAACAAAACAAAAGAATGAAAACAAAACAAAACGAAACAAAACAAAACAAAAAGGACGCAATGAAACGCAATCTTGTACGGAACACAATCCATCAATGTTGCAACAAGGATAGATATGGTACGGAAGAGGCTAGCAAAGCTGCCCCACCGACGATGACAACCTCTGTCGCAAACACGATGCACATGGCAGCACAACTCAAAACAAGCACAAACAGACATAATGAAAACGTGTACAAAACGAGAACAAATTGGGCACACACGAAACAGAACAGTAACGAAATGAACACTCAAAACAACACAAAACGAATAAAAAAACAAAAAAAAACAAACAAAACGATCGATGATTTTATACGAATACTATAGTGCCTCGATGTGTAATGGAGATTGATATGGTACGGAAGAGGCTAGCAAAGCTGCCCCACCGACGATCACAACCCCCGTTACATAAACAAGCCACTTAGCACAACACAAATTAACAAGCATGTAAACGTGTAAAACTCGAACACGAAATCATTGTGAACGTTTTGAGACGAGAGTTAGAGTGCATCGTTGCTGCAACAAAGATTGATATGGTGCGGAAGAGGCTACCAAAGTTGCCCCACCGACGATCACAACCTATGTTGCATGCACGAGGCACTCAAACACCACGTCACAAAGTAGACAGGTGTACACGTGATCGTAAAACAGTCGAAAAGGAAAGAAGAAGAAGAAGAACACAGACACAACACCACACCTAAACACAAACATAACCAACACAAACAGCATGCAAACATGTCGGAATCTGCCCCACCTTCCCAGGCCCTTCTCTCCTTGTGCTCCTTCCTCATTCAGAATCGTACCTCCGGCCTCTCTGCTGCCTTTCCTGTCATATTCTCTTGCCCCCTCCTCGGCTCCTAGTTCCTAGGTTAGCCGATGGATCCTGGCGGTTGTTGGCAGGAAAGCTCTCCGCTCCACCGATTCGCCTGGGTCTGGCTGCTGCCACATTGGTGATGTGATCTCTACGCTCCTCCCCCTTGGCTCCCACTAGTACAATCACCCCCGAGTCCTTCACATCCCGCACTTTCCACCTCTCTGTGGTGAGCCCGATGTCCAGCAAGTCCCCCCTCGCCTTCCTGAGGTAGACCTCCCCTCCCGGCTGGATGTCGCCTTCCTTCCCGTCCCTTCCCTTGCTTCCCCTCTGGCGGTACCTCTGCACGTCCCGCAGTTGAGCCACGTGCAGGTTCTCGAGCGCTGCCGGCAGTAGTTCTCGTAGGTATTTCGCCCGAGCCTCGGCCACCGCGACCCATGCTTCCTCGGTCCCCACTAGTACTGTGTCTGTCAGCAGCTTCGGCGCATCAATGGGTAAGATAGGCTCCCTGCCCAGGAGCAGGTAGTACGGCGACATGTCTCTCAGCGCCGCTTGCTTGCTGAACCTGTACCCGGCCGTCACCCAGGGCAGCCTCAAGTCCCAGTCCCTCTTGTACTGTTCGCCGTAGGCCCGCAGCCCCTTCTTTAGAGTCTGCACGAACCTTTCCGTCAAGCCGTCGCTCTGTGGGTGATACCTGGATGTCCTCCTGTGTGTGATGCCTGTCTCTTGCAACAGCTGGTCGAAGTGTCCCTGGAACTCTGTGCCTTGGTCGGTGAGCACTTCCCCACATGCCCCAAACCGCGTCAGCACTTGCTCTTCGAAAGCCTCGGCTATTCGCGCGGAATTCTTGCTCGGCAGCGCTTTCACCTCCACCCACTTACTGCCATGCTCGATCATGATGAGGATGTAGCGTTTGCCTCGTCGGCTCAGCGGCATTTCCCCCGCGAGATCTAGCGACCAGCGGAACCCCAAACCGTATATCGGCAGTGACTGAAGCTCCCTCCTTCCCCGGTCTAGTTCAGCCCTGTTGCGGCTGCACAGCTCGCAGGTCTGGACCCACTCCTTCACTTGTTTCCGCATCCCTGCCCACCACCAGGTCGTCCCTACTGTTATAGTCACAATAGGCTTGAATGTGCCTAAAACGAAAGATAGAGAGCACAGACGGATTTCTGCACAGCGGCTTCAAACGTTGATAGCGTTCTGCTCACAGCTGCAAATGACTTGATTCAAATTGGATCTGGAGCGTCTTCACGTCGTCTACAATTAGCAATTTAGATTGCACGATTTGATAAAGAATTGACGACACAGCGTCGGTTTGAACGAACGGTACTATGGCAGCCACTATAGTCTTAGAACACAAGATAGGAAGAGTTACGAGTTGGGAATGACTCCCAGCTCCTACAAACCCCAAGAGCCGAGGTACAGTGATGTGGAACAGTGCCACACTGTCCCCAACCACGAAGGGTCTCGAAACTACCCTTCACTAGGGCCTACACCAAGTGAAATGTTACACTACACAAAGTAATGTAACTATCTTCAATATCTTGAGGTGTACCCTTTTTGGCGAGCTTCGAAATCACTTGAGGCTTGACACCAAGGCTCGGGCTCTTCATCACAAACTCATCCTTGAGTTCTTGATGGGTCTGCTGCACACACCTGCGACACGCCGAACGTTCGACACAGGACAAAATAGAAACCGCGCACGACAAAATAGAAACCGCGCGCGAGACACAAACGACCGCGTAACACGCGTCTAGCGATAACTCGCTATTGACTCGACACACACACTCGACATCATGACTCGACATTCACACACAATTATAAGCATGAAATATATATTATCCCATGCCCTCATACCATTCCATACACACACACATGCACGCACACGCACAACAAGCCGAGTGCAAACCGTAGGGTTGCACCAACAAACTCCCCCTCGGATTGTTGGCCTTAGGATATGTTGCTCTCTCAGTTCAGAGCCATCCCAGCCAGCTTGCAACACTTCCAATGCTGCTGCTCCACCAGCCTCTTGGTCATCATGTCAGCCGGCTGCCCCGTGGTCTTCACGTAGCGCAACTCAACTTCACCCGCGGTTACCATGCTCCTCGTCCAATGCCACTTCACCCTCATGTGCTTCGTGAGTCCAAGCAACACAGGGTTCTTAGCAAGAGCAATGACACCCTGGCTGTCACAGTACAGTGGGGTAGGTCCTTGCTGCTCCTCCCCCAATTCAGCCAACAAACGCCGCTGCCACACAATCTCCCGTACGGCACGGAAGAGTGCCATGTACTCGGACTCCACCGAGCTCAAAGCTTGGTCAACCTGCTTCTTGCTCTCCCAAGCAGTTGGGCCTCCACCAACACAGCATATGAAGCCTCCCACACTTGTCATGTCCTCTGGTTCTGATGCATATGAAGCATCCGAGTAGGCGGTGAGGAACAGACGCCCGGGTTCAACACCATCCGCGCCCTTTTGGCGCCTTTGTGCCGCCGCCGAGTATTGCAGCCCAACGGTCGATGTTTGGCCAAGATACTTGGCCACCCTCATTCCAGCTGCTACCTGCTCCTCATTAGGGCATTGCACAACCCTAGCCATCTGCCCGGTAGCAAACGCGACGTCCGGTCGGGTGTTTACCGCCGCATACATGAGGCTGCCCACCAACGAGTGAAATCGGCGCCTCTCCTCTTCACCAACGCTCTCCTCCTCTGGTCCCTTCACACACTTGAACCCAGAGGGAAAGGGTGTAGCCACATGGCCTTCACTCTGCCCAAAGTTGGCAGCCAATGCCTCCAGGTACTTTCGTTGATGCACCCGCATGCACCGCTTCTCCACATCTCGTTCGATGTGGAGCCCAAGGTAGAAGCTCACGTCACCAAGGGCCTTGCACTTGAACTTGTCTTGAAGCTTCAGCATCACCTCCTTCACAAGGTCAGAAGAGGGTGAGAAAATGAGGATGTCATCCACATAAACCACCATGAAACTCCTCTGCTCCCCCTCGCCAAGCATGAACAAGGAGTGATCGACCGTTGAGGGAGTGAAGCCGATCCCCTCCAACACTTCGCGCAGCTTCATGTACCATTGCCTAGGGGCCTGCTTCAGCCCATAGAGGGCCTTCTTCAGCTTCCACACTCTGCCACTACCATCATCAAACCCCTCTGGCTGCGCCATAAAAATCTCCTCCTCAAGGATGCCGTTAAGGAATGCCGTTACGATGTCCATTTGCTTTACTACCCATCCTTTGATGGCGGCTCCCGA